GGTGATTGTTGCGTTTTCAAATTTCTTCGGCGTAACGTGCACGGAAAACACTGGTTTGACGCGTTTTCGGAGTGAAATCGCCGTTTTCAAATTTCTCCGGCGTAGTGTGTAGTGACACAGGCATCCCTTGTAATGAGAAAACTAAAGACAAGAAGCGTAAGTTTTTTCCTATTCTTTGTTATTTAGATGCTGACGTTCCTGATGCTAGTGAGGCTTTCGTCGTTGTGTCCAAATGCTATTCTACAACGTAAGTAACCGCATTGTACTTCAGGCATTCTCGTTAATAATGTTTTTGTTAACTGGTCTCCTGTATGCCAATATTAAAGGAGCTCGGTCACGGTATTTTAGCCACGAATAATATTACTTTGAAACTGAAGGAACCTGAAAATGGTAGTTTGCTAAGATAGAAAAACATCAAAGAGATAATTAGAAACCATGAAGGAACAAGGATGGTTTAGGATGTAGAAGATTAACACGGATTACAAACGACGATCTTGAAAAATTTAGGCTAAACTTTTCAAGACGCGCAAACCGTGACGTAGCTCCTTTTAGTACCGAGGTTTATGATGAAGCCGGATTTGGCTCATGGATACTGGGACTTGGACACAATTCTTCGGAACTGATCTTACTTATCCCCTGGGAATTTCATTCTTTGAGTATCCCTGGGGAACTCACATCTTTTTAATCTGGAGTGAGATGTTCCAGGCACTTAGACAAGTTAATACCCTCGGGAGCGCATTCCACTTAAACGGCAGGTAATTTACCCCAAGAACTCGCTTAATTTTCCTGATCGCATTCCTTTGTCGTTGTTTCAACTGTGATTATATTTTCCTTTAGGTGTGGATATCCTCGTGGAACCTCTACGTGCGACGTTACAAACTAAGGTGAAGGCAAATTCAGTTAAACAAGAATTCGAGAAACAAGACGAGCTTAAACGATCTGCGCTCAGAGCTGTGGCTGCGCTGCTGTCGATTCCGGACAGTGGTGAGTGGTTAAAATAACCAATTTCCTTGACTCTGATTGGTTTAATGCCGGTGAATTATTTTGTAATAGCTTATAATAACACTGACATGGCGTAATCTCACCTTTCTGAGGACATCCAAAATCTTGCGAATAATTCCGAAGACAGATTTCCGAATACTCCCGGAGGTGTCGGAAGATGTTTCAGAAATCTCGCGTGATTGGTCTAAACACGTCACGTGCTACAGCCAAAATTGGGGAGTAGATGACGATCCCAAGTGATATTCCCAGGTTTCCAGATCTCCGTTTTATGTTCATATATTTTGTTTTCATTCCAACTAATTTGTTAAACTGAGTGGTATTATATATTTTGAACAAACTAGCAGTATTATTTTTGAATGCCTACAGAATTATTTTGACACTACAGATTACAAAAGAGCGACCTTAGCGATCCAAATATAAAAATATTTGATCCACAATAAACACAAGATTATAACCTTCATTTGTCGCCAACATCTATCTGGCGAAACTGTGCTCGGATATTTGTCCGCGGACATTTTCTTTTCCGAGAAACGAACAGTTTTCCCATAGCGAAAGAAAAACTGTGTTCGAAGAACAGATAGTGTTCAAGAACAAATATCCAAGCTGTTTTTAAAGACAAACGGAGACTCTCGTGTTTATTATCCTTCAAATATTTTTTGCAACACACGGTATTTGAAAATTGGTGGATTATCACTCGGATATTCCCCATTTTTAGCTTGCGTATTCAGTCTCGTGACGCGTTCAGAAGGAAAATATTTGGTGGATTTTTTGTACGGAAATTTTTTCAAGCGGATTTTCTCTCTTCCAAGAGGCAAACAGCAACTTACAAAACAGCAGACATTTGCAGAATTGGCAGATAATTTTTTGAATGTGACTTGATGTACGAGTGTTACTACTTTTTCTACTTTCAGTCTTCCTAAGTTAGACAATGTTGTCGGATTTGTTTCAGATAAAAGTCCATTGCTCAGTGAATTCCTCGCACAGATCAAGTCCAGTCCCGAGTTGTCCTCCATGTTTGATTCCATTCAGAGGGATGCCGGCTCCGCAGAGTCCATGGATACCAGCTGAATATCCTGACCTTGTGTGACGATATCAAACGACAAAGGAAAAAAAAACATTAAACAAAAACGATATCCCGCTACAGGGAGATGTAGTGCAGTATCGTGTTCAAACGATTCGTAATTCTCTCTGCGCAAAGGAAATAAGGCTGTTGAAGACTGTTGTAATTCGCCTGACTTGATAACACTTGAGCCATTTTAACTCTTTCAGTCCCAAGTTGAAAATGTAAATTCTCCTACTCTCAGCCATACAGTTCTTTTAATATCAGTTCAGAGAATTTGATTATACATCAAGGCTATATCACGTAGTTGATGATTTTCTTTGTTCTCATCACCTGTTTAATGGAAATGTATTGGTGATTTAATGAGAAATGAGAGTTTGATCATTCCTGGGATTTAAAGGGTAAAGAAGCTATGTCACGTTACAGCTTGCGATGTTAAACTATTAAACTTTAAATCAAAGCAGACTGAAAAAATATCAGTTTATTATGGTAGAAAAACACTAAAGAGGTAATAAGTAAACAACCACCGCCCCCCCCCCAAAAAAAATGGCTAGTGTTGAGAAAGACTAAGAATTTAAGACGAACCTGAACAAGACAAATGCGTTAATTTTTCAAGTTCTACAATTCGTAACGTAGCTCCTTTTATCCCCAGCCCTGATCAAAACCACCTTTCTCCTTACCTTTGTAATGAAATTTTCCACCAAGCAAGTCAGGGGAATAAAGCATATCATCACTTGTTACCGGCCCTTTTTTTGTGTGTAAAGCTTTGCGGAGGCCTCGCGTTATTCGCTATAAAGGTAGTTAGTGAACATTGCTTTTTGCACTCGCACGTAATTTGTGCGCTGCTTATTTCTTGTGAGGACTATTTGGCAATTTAAAAGCATTAAACATTCTTGGGACGTATCTTTTTTTTTCCATCGTCTGCCTTGGATCCGAATGACCCGTTCTGTTTTTCGCTACTCTTTGCCAGAGAATGTGCGTAAAGTGTTTCCACTGTTAATCGGCTTTTGAGCGGTGTGGAAGGTTGTCTTACTCCTGAGCTAATGATGCATGGAGATTGCCAAAATTGACGCTTGGGCCATCAGCCGAAGAATAAACTTTAGAAAAAGGTTTTAATTTGTTTTGTAGTTGCTTGTTAAATTTCTACGATCTATCAAACCTGGTATTTTTTTTCCCGAATAGTTGGCTCTTTTTCTGTTTTTGTTGCAAGATTTTTCCCGGCCAGGAGGTTCGAACACAATGTAAAGAGAGGGAAAGACCTGATCTTGACTTGAATTTTACTTTCATATTTTTGGCTTCCACTTCTTTATGGATTTATGGTGACTCAAAGAGCGGTAGACAGCGGGGTAGTGCGGGGTGGGGGTGGGGTGGGGAAGGGAGTAATTTCCGTTCGTCACTCTTTCGTGTCCTGCTCCCCCACCCTCCGCCCCCCTCTATAGTAACTGTTGATTCCAGGGGGTGTTTTGCGTATTGAAAATCCCGGTAGCGGTGCGAGTGATCAGTGATCCTAATCTGGATCATCTTGTAGAAACGTTCCCTATAGTATTTATATATAGGATTTACAGACTGCTCCGGGTACAATTTGGAGAACTTCCCATCACCATTTTGAAAGAAATGAGAAGAAATTTGACACAAGCTTAATCTGACGTTTTTTGATCCCATGGCAACCGGGGATTCCCCTTCTCATGTCCAAATATAGTTCCAGACTTTCTCGTCCACTTGGACATGATGAAGTAAACAAAATGGCGACTGGGGGAGACGAGGACGCCGCTTATTCCTCTTTTACCGACTCTTTCCCTTCCAGTTCGTCGTCATTCTCAAGTAGGTCTGTTTCAGAATCTTACAGCAGCTGTGGACTCACAAGTGGTTCTGAAGGTAATAATTGATTTTGAAAAATCTGAGTCAATTAAAACTTGTGTCAAGTAATGTTTTGATTTTCCGCAATTCTTTCGACTTTAATTTCCTACTTCAGGTGACACGCAGTCGTTTGCAGACGAAGGAATATACGGCTGGATCTGTTCTTTGATAGAAAAAGGGAAAGTCGCTCGATTTATAAATCGCCAAGTGGGAATTTACGAGCTGGACTGGCAAGATGTTGTCTGGAAATACTGGTTTGAATTTCGAGATCCAAAACGTACCAAAAACGTCAAGTTTAATCATAGAACGGCGAGCAATAATTTAAGAGCTGCTCTGTTAAATTCCTACAAAGACAAAGGTGCTGAAGAATATCCAGAAAAGAAGGTGTTGGATAGAAGAAATAAGACGATCAAACGCAGCTTTAGAATGCCGTCAACTGTGATCGAGAAACTATCAAATTGCACGGGACCAGATGTAAGTCTTACGTTTATCGAATAATGTTAGCTGGTACAGTGTTAATTATCTATACTTGTGCAGGTATTTATTTAATTTAATGTAAATTATTTACCATCCTATCTACTTTCGTTCGCTCTCGCACTTGAATAACTTCGACACAATTTCTAACGTTTGTCGAATCATGAAATGGGTGTTGACATCCAAGTGGACTAGAAAAAATGTGACGTGTACATATACGTAATAGCCTACGTCACGTAGGGTAATTCTTCTCATTTTCCACTCAAAGTTGTCTCATGTGGAAAAATTCCATCTTTCATCTGTCATCGGAGTTTTTCTTTCTCCCCAGGCTTCAGCAATAAGAACGGAGAAACATGTAGTTGTATAAAAAAATTTCAAGTGTATGATATGGTTTCCTTTAGAATGTACATACTTCAGTTGAGCAATTTTTTTTTTCCAGTCTATAATTACTCATTCACTCGGCTTGCAAGGGGACATTCAGAAAATTCAGAAACAGGAGGCCATAGCTAAAAGAAATAAATAATTTTAAAATCTTTAAAATTTTGCTAATGAAAGAGTACTGGGATGCAGCCTTCTTGTTCGCTGTCATTAATTCTTGTCCCCAGATAGAGGCCGCGCTCCTTTTGGTCAGCACCAAGAATCAGGACCTCTGACCGGACCAAATTTTCTGAGCATGCCTAAAGTATTTGTTTCATATTCTCAGCCAATTAGATTTGTCAGATTTGATGGGAGTCCATGAATCGCAGATTTCTCTATATCTGTGCATGCTCAGAAAATCAGTTCTGGCCAGAGGTCGTGATTCTTGGTGCTGGGTCAAACTATAAATCCATTCTTGAAAATGTAAATTTGCACCATAGCTTGCCATCTCTAATACAGTTGTTACTGTACCCAAGTGACAATTATTTGTGATTTATCTTTTTGAAGAAAACTGCTAGTACTAAAGTTGGTTTGAAGACCTCAGTGCACGTGGGAGGAGAGCCATTTTCACCAGATTTGCTCACAACAGAGCAACCTAATGAAGGTGCATTTTACAAGCTGTCGTAGATCCACTGATATATTTTTATTATTAAATTACTGAATATGTTCACATCTTTGACCTTGAATTGCATTCATTTCAAATTCTGATGTACATTATAAGTAGCCCATGCTATTATCCCCCTGCATATTGCAAATAAATTAATTCAATCACATGTAATCACAATATCAGCTGATATTCACTTACCAGTTTGTAAGACGTTATGCGCCTTGCTTTATCTAAAGATTTCCTGCCAGTTCATGCTACCATTTTTAAGTATTTTTAGTGACAGAAACTAATGTGACATGAAATTATTGTTTTAACAGAAGCTGCGTATAATTCAGCACGCTCCCGTTTGGTCTCTCCCATAAACTTCAGTTCCCTCAGTGTTGATATAGAGGTAATGATATTTTATATAATTTAAATTTATTTAACCTTAAAAATGTGCTTCATCCATGAAATTTTAAAAAGCTGTGTTGTGTGTTAAGTTCAGTCCCTAGTAAAGAGCAAACTTGATTTATACTTGTCCACGAAACTGTACAATTTATGAAAGATTTATTTGTTTAAATTAATTTAAATAAAACGTGGGTGTTGAAAGAAGTCATACAGTGCATTTCAAAAAAAAAAAAATGATGCGGGAACAATATTGCGCTGACATTATGTATTTTTTTTGTTGGTACTATACAGCATAAACAATTCCTAAAAAAAACCCTCATCTTTATCTGGTTGTCCAATTTTGTAAGACTTTGCCTTAAGCTTTGAGCACCAATGAGCTTGTTGCACAAAGTTTACAGACAGCTATGCATAACACCTGAACAGAGATCTAGAGAACAAAGTAACATTACAAGAATTATCATGCTTAAAATTTGTTCTACTAGTCAGACAAATGACCAGGCTTTTGCCAAAATGTGACTAAAGAGGTAAAGTTGGAGTTTGAAATTAAGGCTGGACCAAGGATTTAGGGAAATAGACACTAATAATGTTTTGATCAAAGAAATGTGCTTTTGGAGAAGCTTTTGACTTAAAAGACCTAAGTCCTCTAAAGATTGACCTCAGTAAGATTAAACTTGTGTACATAAAGTAGTATTAATTGAAATAGATTTTACAATAGCTGTTTTTGTCTCCACCTAACTTTATGAAATATTCAAATTTGGCCTTAGAGTTATATACACATTTTATTACAGAAGGGTTGTTATTTATTTGTTGTCATTTCTTGCTGTATATATACCATTTATGAAAAATCATTCCAATCAGTACCTCGAAAACTCCAAAATACTGATATTGTTATCTTGTTGGCAATTTTATTTAGGAATCAGATCAACTCATCAATTTCATGCTCTTTAATGAACAACGTCATGGAGATGATCCGAGTTCATTGATGAGTGATCAGGATTTGATGCAGTCCTCATCATCCGATTGGACGGCAGCAAGCCGATATGATGCAGGGTCATCGGGATATGAAAGTATGCTTTTTTAGGTTTTCTAATGTATAAAAGCAGGTTAAAACATAAATCCAGGTGCTATTTTCTTCCTGTAATTATGTCAAATGAATTTATTTTACTATTTGTGTTAAAAAAAAAAAAACATTTTCTTGATATTCATTCTCACAGAAAAATAAATAAATATTCTTATTACCTGTTCTATTTGCTATACATGTATGGCTACCATCAGTACTTTCATATTTTTTTTATAAAATATGTTAAAAATAAAATTGATCCAGAAATGATATTATTATATGTCATTAATAATTATTTGTTACAAGAAAAATTGAATCCCAAGAAAGATTAGCTTAACAGCTATTTGCATACAGTCTAGTCCAAATGTCATGCCTGATCAAACTATAATGTGCATGCATATATATGTAACTCAGGGAATTAAGGCATGCGTATTATAACACGTACTTAGCTATGTGTAAGGGTTCTCAGGCCCAGCCATTCATTTAGAGTACACGACAGGCACTCATAATTTATTCTCAGTCAAACATCTTAAGTTTGAGATAACCATGAATACAAAATTACTGTCCACTGAATTTTAAAATATTTGCTTTTACCCTTAACAGGTGCAGAAGAAAATCTGATAAAAGAGATGGATCCAAATGAAGGCCCATACCAGGTTTGCTATGTTTTAATGAATAGGGAACCCATTTGGAATGATACAATTTTAATTTAAAAATCACTTATGTAAATACTTAAGGACGGTGCATACTAAATACAAAGGTTTTTGCGCCAGGTTAGGACCATGCAGAAAAAGTAGATCTTTGCAAGGGCTATTGGAATTCACCAATTGAAAAAAAATGGGGGTGGCCATGCATTTTTTTGAGATAATTAGCCTTGAATCTCAACAAAAATGCTGACAGCAGCATTTTTCTTAAAAAAAAGAAAAAGGATATTTCTTCACAGATTTCTTTAGAATTCGCCTTTACATACAGAAAAGCAAACACACTTATAAAGGTCTTAACCCTACACATGGTAAATGGTAACATTAAAAACCATTTTTGGTATGTTTTAAATAACAAAATCGTTGCAACAGCACTTTTGGGATCTTTGACAGCCTTCCTCTGGTTCAACTAAAATACAGTCTAAAGACCTTTTGCTCTGTGGCAACCAGAAACTAATCATGTGTTGAATAGGCTTGCCACTTCCATTTCATAACATAAAAATTGTAGGGGTAAACCATGCATTTTTTAAAGTTATTGATCTTTTTTTGAAAAGTTTTACAGTGCCCGACACATTTTTTCCTGTCACCTTCCCAGTAAGTAAAACGTTTGCGTATCTTGCACTTGTTTTGCGCGCTCACTACACCATCTGCAGGTACACGTTTCAGTTGGATTTCTGTGTAATTTTCGACAGACACCAGCTGGTTTTTCAGCTGGAAGATGGTAACAGTTAATGGTTATAAGTGACATGCTGCTATTCTGGTGTTCCTGCAGTTTTTAAAGCACAGGTTCATTAAATTTGGTTTGGTCACAGAAGGAAAATTTTGCTTTCATTTTAGTCATGTACATGGTAGTGTAGCTGATTGCATCAATGTCAACCCAGCGCGCATGTGGCACTTAAACCATGCCTTGCATGATGGGCAGAATGCGTGCACACTAACAAAAGTCAGCACCGTCCTTAATAGGGGTTTCATTAAGGGCTGGGCACCAGGCAAACCGACTGGCTGTGAGGATGATTTTGCCCACCTGGTCTGACCATCTAGAGGAACGTTTTTCTTAANATTCCAATCTGTTTTGGTGTTATCCAGAACACATCAGATGCTCTTTTACTAATTTTGCTGTGCCATTGCAACGTTTTGTGCCCCGTTTATGTAACATAATTACGTAAAATGGAATGATGTAGGACACCCTTTGAAAAGTCATTGGTGAAGTTTTAGATCCAGAGGGAAATACTGAGTACAGCGTCTTGTAGTGCTACATACGTCCTCAAACCGTATCCGGCTTTGAGACAAATCCTGGATGCCGTGTAAATTACACAATCGTGTTAACTAATTTTCGTTTTGCCCAACTTAGGCTTTTACTGCAAAGTGTAGCCAGCCCTGCACCCATGGAGCACTGCAAGTCGTCTCTAGCAGCATCACAAGGTGACTGTAACATCTTAACGAATTAGGATCTAGTAATTGACGTGAACATTCTCCTTTGTATTTATTCAAACAGTTTGTATAGTCTGTTAGCCAGATCAGGACAGAAGGGCCTTGGCGACACAATGTGCGACACATTTATGATGTCTCAATGCTGTAAAGCATTACAGCATGTCTCGTGTGTTCCCTAAACTATCTACCCTTCAGCGTGTGAAGGCAGTTTTTAGGGTATTCCTAACATCCTTACAAAAACCCGCCTAAAGCAATATCATGGGCGTGTTCGTGCTTAGTAAAGTATCCAGGCCTGTCGGGGCCACTTCGAATTTTCCCTTTGCAGAAGCTGTTTCCCTAAAGGTGGCCCTTCGGTAGATAAGTGGTCCTCCCTGTCAGTTGCAATTAAGGGTGTCTTGCGCGTGCCTTTTTCTTGGATATTATGTATGGTAATTACTATTGTGAGTTTCAGTAAAACAACTTGTTCGAAATGCTTGTCAGAAAAGACAAGTGGGTTCATTCCCTGACCAAAAAAGAAACAGTGGGGTTTTCATTAGCTGTGTGGCCCTCTGCGTTTTAGCGTTTGAATATTGTTTCATTTGGAATTTCAACAGATGGAAACACAGGAGAACCTACGAGAACATCGGAAAATGGGTACGATGGCGGTTCAGAATTAGAGACTATCCATGACCTGAAAATGTCACTAAATGATTCGAACGAGTTGAAACAGAATGAGGGAAAGATGGAGAAAGACTGCACATCAAATGGCAGGGTGTGTGAAAAGGACGAGAAAGAGCTTGAAGTTAAGTGCAAAAAAGAGATAGAAGAAAAAGATACCTCAGTTCAGTTCATTGATATTCTCACTCCAGAAAATAAGATAAGCAAGGAAGGCAAGGACGAGAGGAGCCAAGTCAACGACAAGCCATGCAAACCGAAGATTGTTGTTCTCCGTAAGCCATGTTCTCCAGTCCCAATCAGCAGAAGTCGATCTAGTTTTCCAGATCCAAGAACAGACGTCTTTGTTGAGCTGCAGGTTCGTAAAAACCAACGAGCCTTAGGAGATAGCGACTGCCAAGACGAACCCATTGGTGACATGACGGTTAGCAAACAACTGACAGTAAAGCGCGTGCCAGTCGCAAAGCATCAGGTGGCCGTGGACGTGAAGCACATCGGGACTGAGCAGAGTGCGAGAGACTGGGAATCAAAGTACGTCAAGCGTGTCAGCGGTAAGCTTGGGTACTGGTTCAGATTCTACGAACCAAACTGTGAGTTATTGCTCATGTTTACCCTCTATGACAAGCCTCACACAGCCAAGTGCGAAGCGAAGTTGAAGACGGCAGTCCTGGATTACGTTACAGTTGTTGTGGAGACCATCAATCGGAAGGGACCGTTTTCAAGAGAGGGAAAAACGGAAAAAGAGCATGAACTTGCGCTTACTCGTCAAGTACCCTTGGTGTCCCTATCGCGCTCTCAAACGCGTGTGTGTGTGATCATGAACGAGCTGCATAAATTATGCGATAATGGCGAATGGGCAAAGTTTGAAGCTGCGTGCAAAGAGCATCGCCATTCCCGCGATGTTGATGTTCAAGTTGCAATTTTACTTGAGAAAGCTATCGCATTTCTTTACAAACATGACCTGGAGAAAGCAGAGCTTACAGCAATAAAAGCGCTCAGCATTGTCTCTAAGGCCGACAACCACCAACTCCTGGTCGGACGAGCGTACTACTACCTCGCTCATATCTACCGCCGGGAGAAGAAGCTGGGAGAAGCAGTGCGCTGTATTGACCTGTCTAAGCAGAATCTTCACTTGATGGATGTGTGCCTTGACCAGAGCTTCATGGCGTACGAGGAAGGCAACGTCATGAAGGAGTTCATCTCCAGTGGGACAGTCTTGAGGAGGAAGCTGCTTCTCCAAGCAAAGCAGTGTTTCGAGCGGTGTCTTGATGTCTGCAGGCGGCTGCCTGATAGCGACAGTCAAGTGATTCCTCACACGCACAGTTTTGCGCTGACGAAGATCGCCATGCTGCTTCTAGACTGCGGGAGCACCTCAGGACGAGAGAGGTGCGTGAGTGGCACCCACGTCGCAGAGGCCAAGAGATTCCTCGATCGGTTGCAAAAGCAGGGCCTGGATAAAATCACCCAGAGGAGAAAACTCCAGTTCATGTTAGCGTGCTCTGATCTTCAATACCGACAGTCCAACTACCAAGCTGCAGCTCAGCAGGCCCATCAGGCTTTGAACAAGGCGAACGAGTTGGGATTCTCGCTTGAAGTAATGCCCGCCCACCATCGCATCAAGCACATCCGCCAACTGCTTGCAAGCGAACAATGCACAGTGTATGCTTGTCCCGAACTCTAAATTGGGATAAATGATACCCTGGGTATCATCCTCCTGGAAAGTAATTCTCCTTGATCAGCATTAGTTCAAGCTTTTATATTTTTCAAAGAAACACGAAAGTGGGAGGAAGGGGGGAAGACAAATACCATTGAGTGCAAAATTCCGTCTTCAGAAATTGGCTGCGCCTGCTGTTTCCGTAACTGATCATGAGTTGCTAAGCAATAATACACATCCTTATTTCGCCATGTTAGCGTGATAGTTTCCAGACTACTCGATCGTTAATTTTGAATTCGTTTCTGACTGGCTAATGAGAGTGGCGACGATTACATTCGTTGTCTAAAACGGCAGATTTTCTCCAGTGTTCTGACGATGTCGCTGCTCGTTTGCATGCTGAAACAGTGGATTAAATTACTTCTGAATAATGATGCTACCTTTGTAAGAAAATATTCTTTACACAGAAACACAGAAAGGGCTAAGGACTACGGCGTTTAATTTATCTTATCAACTTCAAGTTGATAATTAATTAGCTAAGTGTTTCCCTTGACCACCGACGCAACACAACATGTTCTTTAGATTTTTAAGCCCCGTACACGCTACGTCGGAGAAATTTGAAAAAAAAAAACAGAGTTTTTCGAAAACGCCCTTCCAAACCATAAGAATTTGAAAACGCTAGCTTTTTGTTTTGGTGTGGACAGAAAACGTTTTAAGACTTAAAAAGGAATCGAGCTTTTTGAATACCACTTTTTCACGATAATCTTACGATTAACCCTAACCTTCAAGGGTGTACCCAATAAGCGACTCTACGGCGTGAAAATTAATGCATAACACCTGAACAGAGATCTAGAGAACAAAGTAACATTACAAGAATTATCATGCTTAAAATTTGTTCTACTAGTCAGACAAATGACCAGGCTTTTGCCAAAATGTGACTAAAGAGGTAAAGTTGGAGTTTGAAATTAAGGCTGGACCAAGGATTTAGGGAAATAGACACTAATAATGTTTTGATCAAAGAAATGTGCTTTTGGAGAAGCTTTTGACTTAAAAGACCTAAGTCCTCTAAAGATTGACCTCAGTAAGATTAAACTTGTGTACATAAAGTAGTATTAATTGAAATAGATTTTACAATAGCTGTTTTTGTCTCCACCTAACTTTATGAAATATTCAAATTTGGCCTTAGAGTTATATACACATTTTATTACAGAAGGGTTGTTATTTATTTGTTGTCATTTCTTGCTGTATATATACCATTTATGAAAAATCATTCCAATCAGTACCTCGAAAACTCCAAAATACTGATATTGTTATCTTGTTGGCAATTTTATTTAGGAATCAGATCAACTCATCAATTTCATGCTCTTTAATGAACAACGTCATGGAGATGATCCGAGTTCATTGATGAGTGATCAGGATTTGATGCAGTCCTCATCATCCGATTGGACGGCAGCAAGCCGATATGATGCAGGGTCATCGGGATATGAAAGTATGCTTTTTTAGGTTTTCTAATGTATAAAAGCAGGTTAAAACATAAATCCAGGTGCTATTTTCTTCCTGTAATTATGTCAAATGAATTTATTTTACTATTTGTGTTAAAAAAAAAAAAACATTTTCTTGATATTCATTCTCACAGAAAAATAAATAAATATTCTTATTACCTGTTCTATTTGCTATACATGTATGGCTACCATCAGTACTTTCATATTTTTTTTATAAAATATGTTAAAAATAAAATTGATCCAGAAATGATATTATTATATGTCATTAATAATTATTTGTTACAAGAAAAATTGAATCCCAAGAAAGATTAGCTTAACAGCTATTTGCATACAGTCTAGTCCAAATGTCATGCCTGATCAAACTATAATGTGCATGCATATATATGTAACTCAGGGAATTAAGGCATGCGTATTATAACACGTACTTAGCTATGTGTAAGGGTTCTCAGGCCCAGCCATTCATTTAGAGTACACGACAGGCACTCATAATTTATTCTCAGTCAAACATCTTAAGTTTGAGATAACCATGAATACAAAATTACTGTCCACTGAATTTTAAAATATTTGCTTTTACCCTTAACAGGTGCAGAAGAAAATCTGATAAAAGAGATGGATCCAAATGAAGGCCCATACCAGGTTTGCTATGTTTTAATGAATAGGGAACCCATTTGGAATGATACAATTTTAATTTAAAAATCACTTATGTAAATACTTAAGGACGGTGCATACTAAATACAAAGGTTTTTGCGCCAGGTTAGGACCATGNGCTGCAGGATACTTACATACATACATTGTATTATTTAAAAAAAGGTCGAGTTGAAGGTAGCACCAGGCTAACGTGCACCATTACAACAATAATTAAGGAGAACTAAATAATAAATAAATAATAAAATTTGTTAATCAATTAATAACTGTACATACATAAATTTGTGCATATTAACAGTGAGAGAAATTTACACAAAATACATTATTTACAAATTATGTGCCTTGCATTTTAAAATTATTTAAGATAAATTTATTGACCATTGAATATCAATTTAAAGATATACAGAATCTTCAATGTTTATATATATATTTACTTACATTTCAATCCAGGTTGGCAACAGTACATATGCATACTTTTGTGGTATCAAAACTACTAGTGACAAAACATTTTGTTGTGTTTTTTGCAGGGAGGGACTATGTCCTTTATTTTCTTGGAGCAATCTCTTGAGTCTCGTGCACCTGGGGCTGGAAACAGGTGTAAAGTGATTTTCTCTTCACCAAAACACTGCCTTACTCCTCGTGAAGTAACAGCAACAGTAAAAAATCCTTTCACAATTAAAGTTCGTGTTCCTCATTGCCCAAGTAAGTCTCAGTTTGACAAGCATTAATTCATTTATTATACGTCTGACAAAATTTCTTCAATGTGATTTGCTGAGAGCAGCTAATTTCTCGTCAATTTTTAATTTGCACTGCAGTGCAAATTAATGTGCACATGCTCATAATTTTTCCAGATATATAATAAATGAGTAAGGCTCGGATTGTGCAATTTTGGGAGAATTTTGATTTATCACTCTCAGTGTAAATCCTTCATTGTACTCACATTCACACGATAACATTATGATTATTCATACTTATTTTTGTAGGAATTAATTTTGCTGCTGCTTCACTTTTGAGCTTTCAAAAGTACACTGTTGGTTGGGGTAGTATTTATTTTTCAATAATATATAAACAAACTAAAAGAATACCAAACCTGGAAACAACAATATTTCTTTGGTAATTATCATGTCTCAATCAGTGACAACTAACTTTTCTTCAAATTAATTAGGACTTTCGGGAAGACAGCTAGCTTGTGGTAAGCTGACAGTTCAAGTCCTAGTGAAAACCATGGAAGATTGCTACATTGGTGAAACTAGCTACACTTACACTGCAAACCTACTGACTCAGTTTGAGCATTGTGTCAAGGCCCTTGATGATGAAGATATGGAGCTGGGCTTCTCACGCACTGCAGATGAACAAGTTGCACTGACCTACAATAATTCATGTAAGTGTGGTCAAGAATTTAATATCTAAGTGGAATCATGCATATGGGAGGTGGAAGTTCCAGCATATTAATGTGGTGTTGTTGCATGTGGTGCATAGCTGGCTAGCTGGCCGGTACCAGTTGTTTAAGTCCTTATTGCACAGCAAGGCATATGTCCCTGTTACTCCCTTGACCATTACACTACCGCGTCTTCCTCCCATAGGGTAGAGATAATTTGAAGCAGTATTTGTATATTGGTGTCCTAAACTATATTGCTTTACTTATACGAGTCTGCTTATTTAATGTTTGACTATGTTGGAATTGTCTTGCCACGTGTGCTAATACATTTTGTATATGGGTAAAACAATAACCTTAACATTAAGCCAACCACCTTCTTTTCCAGACATGGATGTTGGTGGCTGTCATTTGTTTAATTTTGCCACTCTGCAAGTGCTGACGTTTGTGGCAGTCAAGGAGAGAGCTTACAACTTACTTTTAGCATTTCTTCAGAGCCCAGTTGTGTCGCCAGTATTTCAGCACTGTAAACACGAGCTAGTGCTATTCATAGAGTTTATCCAAACACGTGGTGAAACGACACCAGCTCTTCAAATGTGCAAGGAGTAAGTATCAGTAAACTGAAAATGCCGAAATGAACCGTTCAAATACATGTACCAGCCGCCTATAGCAAATAGATTATAGACTGCTGTAGATAATTTATAGCGGGTACGTTTTTTCACTTAACTTGAATTGACCAAACGTAATTGCTGTATGTCTCACAGAATCATAATTCCAATCTGTTTTGGTGTTATCCAGAACACATCAGATGCTCTTTTACTAATTTTGCTGTGCCATTGCAACGTTTTGTGCCCCGTTTATGTAACATAATTACGTAAAATGGAATGATGTAGGACACCCTTTGAAAAGTCATTGGTGAAGTTTTAGATCCAGAGGGAAATACTGAGTACAGCGTCTTGTAGTGCTACATACGTCCTCAAACCGTATCCGGCTTTGAGACAAATCCTGGATGCCGTGTAAATTACACAATCGTGTTAACTAATTTTCGTTTTGCCCAACTTAGGCTTTTACTGCAAAGTGTAGCCAGCCCTGCACCCATGGAGCACTGCAAGTCGTCTCTAGCAGCATCACAAGGTGACTGTAACATCTTAACGAATTAGGATCTAGTAATTGACGTGAACATTCTCCTTTGTATTTATTCAAACAGTTTGTATAGTCTGTTAGCCAGATCAGGACAGAAGGGCCTTGGCGACACAATGTGCGACACATTTATGATGTCTCAATGCTGTAAAGCATTACAGCATGTCTCGTGTGTTCCCTAAACTATCTACCCTTCAGCGTGTGAAGGCAGTTTTTAGGGTATTCCTAACATCCTTACAAAAACCCGCCTAAAGCAATATCATGGGCGTGTTCGTGCTTAGTAAAGTATCCAGGCCTGTCGGGGCCACTTCGAATTTTCCCTTTGCAGAAGCTGTTTCCCTAAAGGTGGCCCTTCGGTAGATAAGTGGTCCTCCCTGTCAGTTGCAATTAAGGGTGTCTTGCGCGTGCCTTTTTCTTGGATATTATGTATGGTAATTACTATTGTGAGTTTCAGTAAAACAACTTGTTCGAAATGCTTGTCAGAAAAGACAAGTGGGTTCATTCCCTGACCAAAAAAGAAACAGTGGGGTTTTCATTAGCTGTGTGGCCCTCTGCGTTTTAGCGTTTGAATATTGTTTCATTTGGAATTTCAACAGATGGAAACACAGGAGAACCTACGAGAACATCGGAAAATGGGTACGATGGCGGTTCAGAATTAGAGACTATCCATGACCTGAAAATGTCACTAAATGATTCGAACGAGTTGAAACAGAATGAGGGAAAGATGGAGAAAGACTGCACATCAAATGGCAGGGTGTGTGAAAAGGACGAGAAAGAGCTTGAAGTTAAGTGCAAAAAAGAGATAGAAGAAAAAGATACCTCAGTTCAGTTCATTGATATTCTCACTCCAGAAAATAAGATAAGCAAGGAAGGCAAGGACGAGAGGAGCCAAGTCAACGACAAGCCATGCAAACCGAAGATTGTTGTTCTCCGTAAGCCATGTTCTCCAGTCCCAATCAGCAGAAGTCGATCTAGTTTTCCAGATCCAAGAACAGACGTCTTTGTTGAGCTGCAGGTTCGTAAAAACCAACGAGCCTTAGGAGATAGCGACTGCCAAGACGAACCCATTGGTGACATGACGGTTAGCAAACAACTGACAGTAAAGCGCGTGCCAGTCGCAAAGCATCAGGTGGCCGTGGACGTGAAGCACATCGGGACTGAGCAGAGTGCGAGAGACTGGGAATCAAAGTACGTCAAGCGTGTCAGCGGTAAGCTTGGGTACTGGTTCAGATTCTACGAACCAAACTGTGAGTTATTGCTCATGTTTACCCTCTATGACAAGCCTCACACAGCCAAGTGCGAAGCGAAGTTGAAGACGGCAGTCCTGGATTACGTTACAGTTGTTGTGGAGACCATCAATCGGAAGGGACCGTTTTCAAGAGAGGGAAAAACGGAAAAAGAGCATGAACTTGCGCTTACTCGTCAAGTACCCTTGGTGTCCCTATCGCGCTCTCAAACGCGTGTGTGTGTGATCATGAACGAGCTGCATAAATTATGCGATAATGGCGAATGGGCAAAGTTTGAAGCTGCGTGCAAAGAGCATCGCCATTCCCGCGATGTTGATGTTCAAGTTGCAATTTTACTTGAGAAAGCTATCGCATTTCTTTACAAACATGACCTGGAGAAAGCAGAGCTTACAGCAATAAAAGCGCTCAGCATTGTCTCTAAGGCCGACAACCACCAACTCCTGGTCGGACGAGCGTACTACTACCTCGCTCATATCTACCGCCGGGAGAAGAAGCTGGGAGAAGCAGTGCGCTGTATTGACCTGTCTAAGCAGAATCTTCACTTGATGGATGTGTGCCTTGACCAGAGCTTCATGGCGTACGAGGAAGGCAACGTCATGAAGGAGTTCATCTCCAGTGGGACAGTCTTGAGGAGGAAGCTGCTTCTCCAAGCAAAGCAGTGTTTCGAGCGGTGTCTTGATGTCTGCAGGCGGCTGCCTGATAGCGACAGTCAAGTGATTCCTCACACGCACAGTTTTGCGCTGACGAAGATCGCCATGCTGCTTCTAGACTGCGGGAGCACCTCAGGACGAGAGAGGTGCGTGAGTGGCACCCACGTCGCAGAGGCCAAGAGATTCCTCGATCTGTTACAGAAGCAAGGCCTGGATGAAATCACCCAGAGGAGAAAACTCCAGTTCATGTTGGCGTGCTCTGATCTTCAATACCGACAATCCAACTACCAAGCTGCAGCTCAGCAGGCCCATCAGGCTTTGGAGAAGGCCAAGAAGTTGGGATTCTCGCTTGAGGTAATGCCTGCCAACGATCGCATCAAGCACATCCGCCAACTGCTCGCAAGCGAAATATGTACAGTGTATGCTCGTCCCGAACTCTAAGTTGGGATAAATGATACCCTGCTGTCACCTTCACGAATATTAATTCTTCATTGATCAGCATTAGTTCAAGCTTTTAAATTTTTCAAAGAAACACGACAAATGACGAAAGTGGGGGGAAGGGTGGAAGACAAATACCAGTGAGTGCAAAATTCCGTCTTCAGAAATTGGCTACGCCTGCTGTTTCCGTAACTGATCATTAGTTGCTAAGCAACAGGACACGTCCTTATTTCGATCGTTAGTTTTGAATTCGTTACTGACTGGCTAATGAGAGTGGCGACGATTATATTCGTTGTCTAAAACGGCAGATTTTCTCCAGTGTTCTGACGATGTCGCTGCTCGTTTGCATGCTGAAACAGCGGATTAAATTACTTCTGAATAATAATGCTACCTTTGAAAGAAAATATTCTTTACACAGAAACACAGAAAGGGCTAACCAAAGACCTAACGAAGGACTACGGCGTTTAATTTATCTTATCAATTTCAAGTTGATAATTAGCTAATTGTTTCCCTTGACCACCGACGCAACACAACATGTTCTTTAGATTTTTAAGCCCCGTGCACGCTACGTCGGAGAAATTTAAAAACAAAACAGAGTTTTTCGAAAACGCTCTTCCAAACCGCAGGAAATTGAAAACGCTGGCTTTTTGTTTTGGTGTGGACAGAAAACGTTTCACGACTTAAAAACGAATCGAGCTTTTCGAAAACCACTTTTTCAAGATAATCTTACGATTAACCCTAACCTTCAAGGGTGTACCCAATAAGCGACTCTACGGCGTGAAAATTGGATGCGTTTTCGGAGTGAAATCTCTGTTTTCAAAGTTCCCTGGCGTAGCGTGGACAGTGCCTTAAGTTGATAGCTTGGCTTAGCTATCCGTAAATTATCATAAATTATGATAAAATATACCAAACACGAACACCATAGGGGTAGAGATGAGTAATGTAAATATTATGGAGAGGTCTGCAACATAGACTCACCGACTCATTCACGCTCACTGCCCGTCATGCCTACTGCCACAGAGGGCTAACAACAACTCACCCCCACCCGCACAACCCCGTAACATAGACCTAGAGTTAATTAAATTCTGGTTTCCCTGGAACCAACTAATGGTACAGATGTGCACACAAGAAAATGTAACCCAGTTCGAAACTAATGATAAATACAATGTAAGATAGATTATGCTAGAATTCTTGAACGCATTCAACTGACGTGGATTAACACTTTTTTTAACACTTTTATTTTAATTGTTAAGGAAAATAGCTTGCGATGAAATTAAAAGGATTTAATGGAAATTCGAAACACTGCGGAAGAAGCAAATTCCTCCCTGTTAACGTTGAATGTCCAGTTCCAACTTCCCATGTCGTTTCTTGACAACAACCCTGCCTTGCCAAGAATTTGACGCGCGACCCCACCTGGTAGGCAGACCTGGGGATTCCCGGTTGCTACAGGCGATTCCCAGGTTTTGGCAAACATTCCCTGGAATTTGGCATTCTCACGTCAAATTACTAAACGATTTGAAAGCTTATTTTCATCAATTTGGTGAAATGTGTCCTCTCAAGATTTCAGTCAGCGGACGTTTTCCCAGCCGGGTTGTTGTTGTTTACTTGTTTTCTTGATGGAAATCGACCTGTTCAAAAACCTTACGTGGTGCCTCGGGCCGAGATGCAAGAGTCCGGATATTTAGTTAGGATCTGTCGACGTGCTTAAAAAATATTGTTTTTACCTCTCGAAAATACAATTCATATCTTTGCGCCGCCTTGTAATATCCTCTATTTATAAATCAGCCGCGGGGTGCTTTCAATATCTTGCGGAAATTAACGTTGTCTGCATGTTTCCGGCCTTCGTTTGAAACTAAAAATACCGTTTTTAAATGGCACAATGATAATTAATAGCTAGGGGTAAATTCTAGTACTTTCAATTTGTCATTTCTCCGAAAAATGGAGTGATTATTCCGGAGGTAGGAAGAGAAAAGATTGTTTAATTTGAACTCCTTAACGTTGGTCACGAACTTAATAGAGCCTTTGCATAAAAGGCGCCGATACTTGAATAACAATACTTCCTCATCCAAAGCCTCGCATTCATCCTTTGTCCGGAAACATAAGCACGAGGCTGAAGATGTACAAAGTATATTGTTATTCAATATTTGGGCGCCAGCTATGTCAAAGGTTTATTTAATTTAGCGGGCGGACACCTTCTACTGAAGCGGATATTAGGGAACCTACATGGGGTTCCGTTGACAGATTTCATACTTTTAAAGACTCTTTAATGTACTATTTTGAAAACGGCACAATCACTCGCATGATCACTGACTATTATATTTAACAATTAGATTAGGAGCTTGAGATTTCTATCGCTCATAAAAATCAAAAGCGAATGATCTAATTGTTTTAGTATAAATCTACTTAGGGCTTGCCACAAGTTGCTCGAGATTTCCCAAAAAGTTGCCCGAAATTTCTCAAAAAGTTGCTTAAAAGTTGCTCCAAAAAAAGTCCAAAGTTGCTTTTTGAAAAGAAAGTTGCTCGAAAATTGCTAAAAAAAAAAAAGCAAAAACTGTTTTTGTGTTTCTCTCTTCTTTTATTTGGTTTGATGCAAAAATATGCAATCTGTACAAGAAAAGTAACATTTCTAAGCATTTTTGAGCAATTTTGCGTTGTAACCAGCCGGTCGCTAAATAAATTTGTTCACAATACGTATGAGTAAATACCACGCATCAATATCAACAATTTTTTTTTTAAACTTAGAAATAAAATAAAACATTTAAAAAAATTCTTAAAAAAAAGATATATTAAAAAAATTTTTAAAAAATTAAAGAAATTCACAAATATGGAGGCATGGCCAATTAAAGCACTAAAAGCTGCTCCGATATCTAAAAAGCTAGAAATTGCATAGAATGCAAAAACTTGCTCGAAATACGAAAAGTTGCCAAAAAGTTGCCGAGCAACTTGTGGCTAGCTCTAAATCCACTAGTCGTTCAAAACGTTATCTAAATCCTTGCAAATATATAAAAAGAAGCGGTCACCATTTTGTCAGCAACCGCATTATATGGCTATGTGCGTGAGCGGGCAAGATAAATCAAATCCTGCGCTGCGATTGGCTACCCGAGCGGGCTCGGGACTACCCGCCGTATCCCGCAAGAAAAAATTTGCCGAAAGCCATATAATAAATCCTTTATATTTTTGACCAAGCTTGTTCAGTCAAAATGGCTGGATGTTATCCTCGTTCTTTTTTTTTTGCGAGTTTATGGACCTCGACTCCGCCTCGGACAATAAACACACAAAAAAAGAACTTGGCCAATATCCAGCCGTCTTGACCTCACACTTGGTCAATAACTCATATATTTACAACAAAAGAGAAAGTGAGTAGCGTAGCCAATAAGAGAACGGCATCCGTGATAGGACGCTTCGTATGTTTATCAGTACTAATAAGTACTAATAGTTATAGCGCTTTCAACTGGCCAATAAATTTCTGTCCCACCGCATTCTGTCAGCCAATCAGAATGTCAGAATTAGAGCTAGCGTAAAAGGCTAAGTTGTTGCCTAGCAACACAGAAACTCTTAACCTGTCGACCCTTTCTTCTCCGTTCTGAATCATATATTAGTTAACCTGTCTTTTTTATTGTGATTAATGTAACTTGAAGTATCACTCGTCTAATATCTTCCCAAAGTGTACGAGATTTTTATTACAGGAAATATGTGGAGGTTCACGAATTGGCAGAAAAAATGGAAACAGCTGGTTACGTGGCACATTCAGTTCAACGTCACGTAATTATAACGAGTTTTAGAATCGTCGAATCTAGTCTACCTCTTCACAGAATACTGTTTTTCTCGGCGCAGTTAGAGGTCTTTCGAAACAGGAAAATTTCACGTTGTCACGTCCGCAGCATTCAATCATGCTTCTTGTTTTGCCGAACGCGCTGTTCAGTATCCTAATTAGCAACAGGAAACTGAATTGCATGACAATAAAAATAACTGCTTTGTAGACCTCAAGGTTCAAGTTCCAATCCCACTCAGTCGTTTCGTAAGCACATAAACACCAGTCGTGGAGCGAGCGCTATCGTCCTCCGTGTGGTAAATGTCTTTTCTGCCCGACTGACTGAAAAAGCTTCCCTGCTCTTGGCAATCGATGCAGAAACGAACGACGATTTCTAATTAAAGGGTGAGTGAATCGTAGACATAACAATTTTAGCGAAATATCGATCAGTGTACCGAGTGCTCAACCGTTCTGCTAAGCTCTTGGACGAGATGAAACTGGCTCAACCATGTTAGTCACAACGGAGATTGTTCTCCGTTGTAAAATGCAATTTAAAACAAACAGCTTTGGGTTAATATAATTTTAAAACACGGTTTAAAACTCAGCCAAACGAACTCACCCACTCGTATCCACGTTTATTCAAAGTTGAATGCCCTACTTTTGTGTTTGTCTAATCGCGTGATTCGTAGATAATGCATGAATTATATTGTCTGGAACTTGCCGCAGCGCGAACAGGAAGTAGCAACATGGATATCGTAGATCAGGTAACGTTTTCGTTGCTAGAGATTAGATTTGCTATCAGCCTTGAGTCAAATCATTTCAGGGAATAAACGGCAACTTTTTTTCCCCTTACCTTAACAGACTCTTAACAGGCTTCGAAAACTACTGATCGCACAATAGAAATCAGGTTTTATTTAAATCGCAGGAATCTCATAATCGTAAACTGATGCTCGCCAATTTTCCGTGAGCGCAACGTAAACAACTTTTATCGCATATTTATCGCTTTCACTTTCTATAGCCCATGAACAAGGAATTTTTTTCAATTGCTCAGTTTATAACACCTGTGATCTGTCTGCTCTTCCTTTTTGTACAACTAGTAACCGGTCGTATCGCCTAACAAAGCACTCTTCTCTCCCCACCCCCTTCAGGATGCCCGCCCCCCTTACTTCCGCATTTACGCCCCTCGCCCCCCAGCCTGTGTAGCCTGTAGCCATGAGTTTGTTTTAATATTTTTCTGGGACAAAAGAAGAAAAGACGAATTACGCTCGGATTAACCTTGGCAAACAGTCCAGGCTAAGAGACTTTCGTAGAATATATACGAGTATTTGACTTTTTTAAGTTGCGGATTAGGAATTAACTCCCGAGGATTTTAAAACAAGCAACCAACAGGAACTTGTCGATCAGGTTCGTAATCGATATGCAGCTGAAGTATCTGTACCAATAGACTACGAGTAGTCCCTCTTTC